ATGGGCTCATGGACGAGTCTTCGAGGGAGCATACCCAGAGGCTCGTAGAGATTTCGGGAAGTTTGAAGATCAATGGGGTACCCAAAGAGGCTTTGAATTTGAGGCTCTTACCCTACTCCCTTGCGGGGAATCTGCTCAGGTGGCTCAACAATGGACCACCCCTCTCAGTTACCTCATGGGACGACTTGCTCAACAAGTTCATGGCTCAATATTGTCTACCTTTCAAGATGGCAGAGTGGTGCAAAAAGATCACCCATTTCGCTCAAGATGAGGATGAGAAATTGAGGGATGAATGGGAGAGGTGCTCTGACATTTTCCTCCAATGCCCACATCACGGTTTTGAAGAGCAGTTTTGTATTCAGGCCTTCTACAGCGGTCTCTTCCAAGAAGACATGATTCTCACTGACTCTCTATGTTAAGAGAAGTTGATGAATATGACTCCACCCGAGGTTACCGCTTTTCTTGAAGTATAGCAACCAAGGGTATGATTGGGGTTTGACGAGACGTTGTGGTAGGGATGCCAAGAGAGGAGTACACTTCACTGAGGCCAGTCCTCCACTCGCCGCAAATATCGATCAATTATCAATGCACTTCTTGAAGATAAGAAGCAAGGGAAGAAGCCATTGATGGCATGTGATTGGTGTTCGAGTACCAACCATGAGATTTTGGAGTGCCAATTGATGAGGGAAGCAAGCACCCCTGAGGAGCAATTGAGCTACATCGCCAATGCTAGGGGAAACAACAACCCCCTATAGCAACACTTACAACCTGGGGTGGCGAAACCATCCAAACTTTGCTTGGTCTTCCCCAAGCAACTCAAGACACCGTTTCCAAAGACCGAAAGGAAATTATCAATAAAGGCCTCCTTTCATTCAAGAAAGGCCACAATTTTAAGGCTTGAACTTCCAACAACCATTCCAAGCGCAAGGTGGTCAAGGGTACCAACAACAAGCCGATAAGTTCACAAAACTTAAATACTTAGTCACCACCTTTGTGAGTACAAGCTCTCAAAAGTTTGAGAAGATCGAGAAATTTATGGATGTGGAAACTAACATGTTTTCTTCGGTTGAGGTGGGTCTAAGGAGTCATTAAGCGAGTATTAAGAACTTGGAGACCCAATTTAGCAATCTTGTCGGGATCCTCACCGAGAGACCAAGGGGAGCTCTACCTTCCAAAACTATTGCCAACCCTAAAGATCAAAACGCAGGGTTAAATGCTATTACCTTGAGAAGTGGGAAGGTAGCTCCTGAAGTTGTTGCTAAGGAGGTAATTGAGAAGGATGAAGCCCCTTCATTGGTAGATGAACAAGAAGCCTTTGAAAGAAAGGATAGAGAGACTAGGAAGGCACCACCAACGCCACCACTAGTGGCTGATTACAAGCCTCCTCTTCCTTTCCCTACGAGGGTGCACAAGGACCGATTGGAGGCGGAGTGTGGAAAGTTCATGGAGATGCTCAAGTAGTTCCATATTACCATGCCTTTCTTGGAGGCAATGGCGCACATGCCAAGGTATGCCAATCACCTCAATGGGCTTCTTCAAAGAAGCACAAGCATGAAGACCTTGCCACCGTCACGTTGGGCGAGGAGTGCTCGACCTTCATTCAAAACAATTTGCCTATAAAGCAACAAGATCCAAGTAGTTTCACTATCCCTCTTTGCATCGGAGCATGCAATATAGAAAATTCCTTGGCGGATTTAGGTGCGAGCATGAACTTCATATCATTTGAGCTTTACAAGAAATTGAACTTAGGTGAATTGAAACCCACTAGGTTAAGTGTGACATTGACTCACCGCTCGGTGATTAGTCCTAGGGGTATTGTGGAAGATGTTCTTGTAAGGGTGGGCACATTTTACTATCCGATGGATTTCATCATCCTTTGTATTAGTGAAGATGAGGATATGTCCCTCATACTAGGACGTCATTTCCTTTCTACCGCCAAGGCTTTAATTAATATTAATGAGGGGACTTTAACCTTGAGAGATGGAGAGGAGTGAATTACCTTTTCGAATGACCATAAGAGTAAAAAGAATGATGTCAAGGAATTGGAATCGAATGGTTTGTTTGGAAGTGGAGGTGAGCCAATCAACACGAACCCCACTATTTCTCTTGCTCCTTGTGATGATGTGAAACATGGACCTAAGGCGGGCACCAAAAACGAAGGAAGGAAGAAGAAAGTGTGGCGTGCAAAGATGAGCAACGCCTTTACCCCAAAGAAGGACAAGGGTAAGGAGAAAGTGCCCGGCCAAGAAGGACACCCTTTGTAGTTTAAGATGGGAGGTTACTAGCCTCGCCTCAAGACCATAGCGGATCCACTCTCGGAGGCCTCATGCTCTTAGGCATGAAAGATTCGCAACACCGAATGTAGGTTTGTTTTTCTTTTCCTTATTTTCTCTTTTTTGATCTAGTGATGAGTTCAAGAGGTTAAATGGTGATCACCGTGCCGGGATTGTGTGACTGCATGTTTTGGATGTGTTGAGATCGAGTTTGGGGCACGGTTGATTTGATCGAGTCGTCAAATTCGAGAAATGCCCTATTTCTCCTCAGTTCATTGTTTAAGCCCTATTATCACGCCCGTCAGGCCATGATAATGAGGTGGAAACCGTGAACAGAAGGGGCAGTCCCAACTTTTGAAATTTGTCGTTTAGCCCAAGTTCATGATCCGGGATTTATTTTCTTCGTCCGTGAACCTCGGCTCATGCTATATAAGGGGCGTGAACCCTTCTTCTTCTTCTCTAAAATCCTTGCCACAAAACCACGAAAACCGTCATTTTCCATCGATTTTGGAAACTTTCGGCCACCCATATCCAAATCCAAGACTAGACCCACTATTCCAGACACACCTTCGCTAAAGTTTTGAGGCGATCTGGCTCGAATTTTTTTCTGGCGAGCCTCTCCGACCAATTTTCGTGCATCTTTCGACTCCCTTGTTGTCTCCTCACCTTCCCATTCAATCCTACTTGAGTCTCCAGATGTGTTTTGCACTTTTTCCCTATTAATTTTGGAGAATCAGATTAGGGTTCTAGGTGAGAGGATTTTGTGATTTAATGCATGATTGTTGAAATTAGGCAAATATTTAGTTGATTAATATTTTTTGAATATTGCATGAAGTGTTTTTGCACTTGATTGAGCCTTAGCGGGCACAACTTTTGTATGATTTGTCGTTTAATTTAAGAAAAAATGCCCACCAAGTGAAAATTTTGAATGAATGTTGATCCATTTCTTGTGAATGATGGTTGGTGCCATCGAAGCATGGTTTATATTTAAGTTACTATGTTGATGAACTATGCACCACCTAGAACCATGCTTCGGTATGCTTTGTGTGTAAATGAGCTTAAATGTTTGAGAATCGGTCTTGTGAAAAGCCTTGAAGACATATGGTAATAGTGGGATCGTAAGTGTGGGGGTGGGGGAATTCTTTTTCTCCCCAACGATTTGAGATTGAAGAAATGTTTCCATGTATGGTGTATGGTTTTGATGTTTTTGCAGGATGGTTAATCCGAATCACCCGTACCTTGCAGCGGTCACTAGGGTACTTCAATTCCAAGGTAGCCTGAGATTCTGGACGAGGGCTCCGTTTGGGCCCCATTGGTGACTTGATTTCCGTCAATTCAATGCACTGAACTGCGGAGATGCCATGAAAGAATCGGTGTCAAATCCTCAATGTCGTCGGTTTCTCAAAACTGAGAACGACATCTTCGAGGAAATCTACATCAAATTCTTCAGCACCCTTACCCTGTTCCAACAGAAGAATTCCTCTAGGGATCGTGACACCAAGGTTAGAATCTACTGGGGTGGTGTATCCCCGGTCATGACCTTTGATGAGTTTTCGCAAGCAATGAGGGTGGAGGATGCTCCAGAGACGAAGCCAGAAGTGGATGTCATCCCGAACTTTGACGCCAAAGCAGCTTTTAAGAAAGTTTGCCTCTCCTTGCATCGACATCACTTCTTCGAAGCCCATACCACATCTACTACCCTCATGCCCCAATGGTGTGTCATCAATGCGCTTCTCGGGCATTCCATCTTCCCGAGTTGCAACTCGACCAACAAGATCATTAAAAGAGCCCTTCTCGCCTTTGCTGCCATGGCTAATGTAGGAGCGCGTGTTCATATAGGGTCCATCTTGGCCACTTCATTTGCAAGACCATTGGCAACAAGAGGAATGATGTTACTCACTTGGGACCATACATAACCAGGATCGTGCGCCATTTTGAGGTTGACTTAAGTGGTTGCACGAAACAAGAGTGCTCTAGCCGATTCTGGGAGGAGACATTGAGCGCTATGCACCTGCTCAAAGTCTTTGGACCATATAGATATATTGAGGGCCTTTTCATACCACCAGTGCTTCCCGATCCAGCAGAGACTCCGCCTGCTCAGCCACACCAGCCCCACCCTGCACCACCACCACCATCACCATCATCTTTATCGGCAGGAGCTGGTCCCTCCACATCCGCAATCCACCTCGAGTATCGAGACACTAGCCTCGTGGAGCAATTCACAGGGGTCTCCACATGGTTGGATAGATCCAAAACCCTACTAGAGTGGATGGTTCGACAACAGGGTGTCTTGTCAGACGACGATGAGTGATCATCTTCGACTCGAGCGAGGTAGTCAACCGAGTGAGACATGTGGCAGAGTCGATTTATTTCACCCCACTTCTCCACTTGAATCTCAGAACCTTGTTATTTTTCTTTTTCTTTATTGTGTGAGCAAGTGTTATTGTGAGTTTTTTTCTTTCTTTTAATCATGATGTGGAAAATTGTTATGTATAATAACCTGGGTAAATTGCAAGGTTGGTCACTGAGATTACTAAAAAGGTTGGTGTTGGGTCACTACAAATATTTAATTATGTTCGTGGTCACTCAAATTAGTTCAATAGTTCAATTATGGTCACTCTCCGTTACCTTTTGTTAGTCTTTATTAACGGCGTTAATTTTTTACTGACGTGGCTAACAAAAATGCCCTATCAGCCTATTTTAACTCTAAAATATTTAAAATGGACCTGCCACATCATTAAACCCACATAGTCACTCTAATCCAACTCGTGACCCCTACTCTGAACCAAATAACTCATGACTCGAACCACTCAGATTAAAAATTAAAATAAATATAATTAAAAACACTAAATCCAGCGAACAAATCCCACCCACCGGTAAAACTCCTTGCCTCTGTAAAATTCTCAGGTCGCCGGTCGTTGGAGAAGAGGACCGGAAGCAGCCCGTCCACCGCCTTCTCTATTTTGGCGACCGGCCATGCCTTTCCCATCGGAGAAGAACTGAAGAAGATCAGAGGAAATACCCAAACAAATCGTCTCAAACCCCAACCAATTTAATCATCAATGCCTCTTCTCTAGTCCAGTTCCCCACTTTGCACCTCCCTAATCTCACTTAGTCTCGCCGAAAATACAAAAAAAAAAAAACAATCAAAATCAAATTTTCCATTCCCCATTAAACCTGCTCTTCAATCAGCCAAACTCGCCCAAGTCACCCAGATCCCTAGCCGCCATCGAGCACCGATCAAGTCAAACAGATTCTTTTACAGACGCCATGGAAGGCCACTTGAAATCTTAGACGTCGTTCAAAGCCGAGACGCAGGTGGTGGAGATCTGTGATACGAAGGGCGAGATCTCTGATTTGGGATGGGGAAGAAGACAAGGCACTGGTAAGACCGCCAGTAGGAATCGGCAAAGGAGAGCAGGGGGAGGAATCGTTGGTCCTACGGAGGGTTCTCAGCTAGCTGCCCTTTCCCGGAGCTTGATTCACCGCCATTTTCTTTCCTTCCCTATTTGAAACTCATATTCAATTGCGACCATAATCTAACATGCATCCCTTAATCGCAAGTTTGTTTGGGCAAAAACGAGCTGACGTTGGGGACTCTACGGGGAAGTTGAAATGCAAAGAGGGAGATGGTATTTGAAGGTTGGAAAATTGTGGCGGCGGTGGTGGAAGAGAAAGGATGGGGAAGAAAAGTTTGTGGAGGAGTGGAGAGAAGAGAGGAATTGAGCGACGGGGAGAAGGGAGAAAAATTAAAAAATTAAAATTAAAATGTGTCCTGGGTCTGGTCGTGTAGGCTGGATGGGTGGGTTGAAGTGTCTATTGAATATGAATTTTTTATGGTTGAAAAAGATTGATTGGGCATTTTTTTTAGCCACATTAGCAAAAACAAAATTACGCTATTAACGAAGACTAACGAAAGATAACGGAGAGTAACCATAATTGAACTGTTGACCTTATTTGAGTGACCATGAACGGAATTAAATATTTGTAGTGACCAAATGCGAACGTTTTTAACAATTTCAGTGACCAACCTTGCAATTTACCCATAATAACCTCGAACAAGAATGCGCGTATGTTTGTGTGTTTACTTCTTCTCTTTGAAGCTCGAATCTCCTACCCTGGAACTTGTCCAACTTTCGCTTGCCAATTGTTCGGTAACTTCTTCACCCTACCCTTTTTCTACATTGAGGACAATGTCATGCTTAAGTATTGGGGTGTACAAATTGGAATTGGCATGTGTATTGTGTGTGAATGCTTGATCTAAGTGGTCGGGTTGTGCATTGACCTTGAATTGATTGCTTGTGATCGAGTGCATCCTATTATGATGATTGAGAATCGCATTAGGTTGGTGCAAATGTTTAGTTCTCATGTGTGTGCAAATGAATGGATGTATTGACTTGATTACTCTTTGATTGCAATTGCCATGCATCAAAATTTGTGAAATTGGAATAGATGATTGGTGATTAGGTAGCCATGTGAGATTTGCGATCGTCTTTTTCATGTGTGATAGATTCCCATTACCATGGCGAGTAACATTCACGTTGTCACTAGTGAGTATGATGGAGGCATAGGATTAGTCCACGCCCAAAAGTTGATTGTCCTGAAACATCTTATCCCCTACTCAACCCCTTGGAGCCGAGTGACTTTTGGTCGTTCTCATTTTAGGAGCTTGTACTTTTTGAGCTTAATGGTGATTGATAGAACGACCCTTTCCTTTCTTTGTTTCTAAACCATCGTGAGTCATCCTTGTGTCTTGGGGCTCTCGCTTTTGAGCTCCATTGAGGTTCTACATAGGTGGATTTTTCACGGTTCCTGCTAGGAACGAAAAGGTAGTGTTTGAGGAAGTTCTTAATAGAGAGAATTTTTCATTAAGTGTTGAAGTGTGACTCGTCCCAAATATCTCAACAAATTCCCACCTAAGACCCAAGTATAAACCTTAGATGGGTGCAATATAGGGCAAGTATGTTTAAATATCAACCCGGGCCGGTCCATGTATCCCTACTTCCATTGTTTGAAGCATTATCTAGCAGATTGGTTTTCGGTTGAAAACTATGAGATTTAAATCAAAACAAAGCAAAGGTAAATGGTTTGAAAGCTCTAGGTGAGAAGGATCACTCGGGTGTCGCTCCCCTCTAACTACTACCATGGCACGTGGACTCGAATGGGACGTTATGGGCAAGGCAATCATGAACCGCTAGGAGGTGCAACTATGATCAAAGACCACACTCTCAATTTCCAAACAAAGGGATACATTATAGGCTACAAGAGTAGCCCTCTTGGTTAAGGAAATTAAGGGTTCACTTACCTTCTCCCTCAAACCGATGGTTGGACGGCTTAATCATGATTAACCTAGTTGATTAATTCAAGATAGAGGTTTTTCCTACATTAACCAAGGTAGGTGGCTTGTCAAGCCCAAGGAATCCCAACTCAATTGAGCCACTTTTGGAAAAGGGGGGTTTCCCCTCTAACCAAGGTTAGAATGGCCAATTCGATTGCTAAGCACACACATTCACAATCATCATGAAAAATACGTCAATCATTAAATTGAACAACACCCATAAACAATCATTCAAGTCACACTACAACTCAATTGAGCCACTTTTGGAAAAGGGGGGTTTCCCCTCTAACCTAGGTTAGAATGGCCAATTCGATTGCTAAGAACACACATTCACAATCATCATGAAAAATAACTCAATCATTAAATTGAACAACACCCATAAACAATCATTCAAGTCACACTACAACTACATGGCAAATAGTTAGGGTTTCACAACATCCAAGTGAAAAAGAGTACTACTCCATGCTAGAAATGGGAAGAACACAAGAGAAAGAGGTAGAAACAATCATGGTGATGCCTCCAATATCCTCTAAGCTTGTGTTGATATTCTCTAGGGGAGATTCTTCCCAATTCACCACTTGGACCAAACCCTAGCCTTCCTTCTTCCTTGCTTCGTCCATTCTCTCTCTAAAATCTGGAGAAGAAGACACTTTCTCACTCTTGGGCTCCCTCTTCTCTCTTCCTTTCAGCTTACATTTTCTACCAGTTCACTCTTGAACACAGAGCGTTGTGTCGAAATGTACCGCTTCACTCACAGGAGTTCATGGTTTGCACTCAATGTTCATGGTCCTGTTGACCGTGAACTCGCCTTGCGTCCGTAATTGCATATTTTGCCCTGGATGCCTCGGGTTCACGGTTTTGGGCTTCCGTTCATGGTCTTAGGAGACCGTGAACTCCAATGGGAAACCGTGAACCTTGCCTGAATCACCCTTTTTGCCAGGTCTTTGCCTCTTTTCGTCCAACTTTCGACTGCGGGGCTGGTTTCACCTGTTCGATCCTGAAACACTAAAACACACAAAACCTGGCATAAAACCACCCCGAGTTCAAATGCTATAAACGCCCCAGGGAAACGGGGCTAAAATGTGTGCAATTAGGCCCGAATCACTCCCCCACACTTGGACGTTTTCTTGTCCCCAAGCAAACCATTTCACACAAGGTAATATTTCAACTTATCCAAATGCTTTGGGGACAATTCAAAGGGCACAAAGTGGCGAATATCAAATAGCTATTGGAAAATAAAACGAGGACTGTTGCAAGCAATACCGACATCCTCCACAAACGACATTCGAGGCTACTAGAAACGGGCAAATGTTAAGTTCTCACCTTGTTCATGAATCAATGCAAGTTTCAACAAGATCACTTACCAACCACAACTAACCATGCATAGAGTTCAAGTCCAAGAAACAAATGGATGGGCAACAAAGGTCCTCACCGGGGTATGATATGACATGCAAAACAAGAATGAATAACTCACTCTCTTGACCAACAGGGTCGTGACCTTTTGGGTGCAAAACTTGTGCACAATCATCAAATCTCGGTCCTATCGTCTCAACACCATGGCGGGAACCTCTAAATTCTAGAGTTCACGGACTGGTTGTCATCACTAGCTTGTCCGTAGGTCTTATACATGGGTTCAAATGACTGGCGATTGTCTTGGACATGGGGAAAATGCTTTTTGGGTGGTGGCAAACACATCATGAGTTCCTACATCTTCACCCTAAAACCGAAGGTTCTATGGTTTCGACTAAGAACTTTCCTTACAAACAACGGCCACTAGCGACGACCAAAAACCTTGCTTCTCCCTTCCAAACTATCACCCATCATGAAATTCCCTTAAGCGCTCTTCCTCGGTCTACTCTTGCTATCACACTATGATTTGGTAGTGAAGGATTTCTAAGACATTGTAGAGGTTTCAATGGCTTGTGTGCCAAGAAACCTCACATGGCACATACTCTTTCATTCCTTGTGCACTCTCTACTTTATTTACCTCATTTTATTACCTCTTTTTCGTTTCTCTTTCTTTATCTTTCTTTCTTTTTATTTTCTTTTTGAGGGAGGTACTAGAGAGTTTAAAATTTGCCACGCTACTGTTAACGATGAAGGCTCTCTTTTTAAGAACTCACTCCAACACTACTCTTCCTTTCACTTTCGTTCCTAGCAAGAACCACACACAATCCTCCTATGTAGAACCTCAATGGAACTCAAAAGCGAGAGCTCCGGGATACAAGGACACCACATGTATAGACATGAAGAAAGGATGGGGGGTCGTTCTATCAACACCATTAAGCTCACAAGCAAAAAGCTCCTAACATGAGAACGACCCCCAAAGTTACAAGGCTCAAAGGAGTTAACTAGTGGATAAATCATTTCGGAACAATCAACATTTGGGCGTGGACTAATCCTATGCATCCATCATACTCACTAATGAAAACTATGATGTTACTCGCCATGGTAAGTGGGATCTAAGCGCAAAATAAGAAAACGATTGGCTCGAAGCTCACATGGCTACCTTCTCACCCAACCGTCTATTCCAATTCACAAAGCAACATGCATGGCAATTGTAATCAACAAGTAATCGAGTCAAAACATCCATTCATTTTTGCACACATGAGAAACTAAACCTTTACACTATCCAATCATCATCATAGGACATACTCGATCACATGCAACAATTCAAGGTCAATACCAATAACCGAAAGATTCTCCTACAAACCGGCCACTTTGATCATGCAAACATTGCTTGGAGCCCTCAAAATTTTCAAAGTTGCGCATATATCAAGGATCCAACCATCAATCACACTCACACAAGCATAATAATAGACTACCCCCCCCCCCCCCACACACACACACTTAAGCTCGACATTGCCCTCAATGGCGTAAGATAGGGGTAGAACGACGTTACCGCTTTGCTTGGTGAGTGAAAGTTGGAATTGTTTCCGGGGTATGAGATTTGGAGCTTCAAGTAAAAGACAAAACACACACACACACAAACACAATACGACTCGCTTAAGGCGAGGTTATTACACAACACAATACGATAGTAGTAGTTTATAGTCACACACACATAAACGAAAGAAAAATAAAACAAAAGAGTTCAGAGTTCCAAGTGGAGTAGTGGGACGAAAGGAATCGGCTTTGCCACATATCTCGATCGTCGGCTACCATCATCGAGAATGAGACCCTGGCGTCTAGCCATCTACTTAAGGAGGTCTGTCTTTCAGTCGAGGCGAGAAGTCACTCCCCCAAACTCGGTCTCAAGGTGATCCATCCTCTGGACGAGGGGATCACCTGCTGGTCTGGGTGCTGATGCTGCTGCTATTGGTGGTGTGGGGCGCAGGAGCACGAGACGCCGATGGCGGCCGGGTGCTCCTGGGGTAGAACCCCTGCATCTGGCTCCACTAGATCCTGGTCACCTGCTGGATGCATAGCTCCCTAAGTTCGGAGCCCGTCGAGGTACTAGATGCCCCTCTCCTGAAGTACCAGCTGCTGGTTATAAAGTGTGGCCACTAGGAAGGGCCTGGTCATCCTGATGATGGAGCATCGCTCCACATCCACTCCGAATTGGTGGGAAATCCTCGTAATGATACCCCCATATGCATGGTGTCCACACTGTTCCACCCCAGACACCGGGCGAAAGAGGTGGCTATTAGTGATCTAAGATGGATCGGCTCTACGGGATGCCTCATGGAGAAGAGAGCCATAAGCCCTCTGTTCGTCATCAGAAGTCCTACCTGCAGGCTGGGGATAACCGATCGGGTGAGCAGAGTGTGGAGAAACCTTCAGTGAGTTGTTAGCTTCACCGCATTGGTGAGGCTTGCCTCGTATTACTCGATCTCGTGCTCGGGGTGGCAGAGGGCCCAGAATACAGCCTGACAATGAAAATCAATGGTGTACTGTCGCTCCGTCATCCTTATATGCATCGGGTCGAGCCCCATGGCCTGGGTGAAGGCGTCAAAGGTCAGCACTCGGGGCTGACCTCCCAGAATGAACTCCACGTACGCCGGCTCCTCTTGCCGCTCGAGACCACATAGGCGAACATGGAGTAGAACTCCACGCATAACTTGTGGTAGATCTGCTCATCCAAGGTGAGCATTCGGTGCCACTGGGGTGACAGACGACCCCCGACATTGCGGCTCGGCACCTGAACATGTTAAACATGTCCAGGTCCAGCCGCCAGTGGGGCCCAACCGGGCTACCCCTCTGGTAGGCAAACTTGTCTCCAAATCGCGGATGGTTCACCAGATAACTAATGAACTCGTGATCCTCGTTAAGCATCCTGCAAAAATAGGCAAGCAAACACTATATGTGGAAACATTCGTTAAGCACAACTCATTGGGAGGAAAAAGAAATTCCCCCCACACTTATCTCCACTATGGATATCAAACATTTAAGCTCAACCCAGCGTGGCATGGTTGTGGGTATTTCACGGTTCATCAACACAAAAGAATTGAACCCCAACCCATGCCACGGTGGCTACCAACCACCATTCAAACACAACCATGCATATTCATTCAAAAATAAGCGCTTGGTGGTCAAAATCTACAAATGCAAGCAATTCGAATCACCAAATGCCCACCAAGGTTCACTAGGCTAATGCAATAACATTTCACCATTCACTCAACCTAATTCGCCTGATTCCGCGCCCTAATTCTAGGTTCAACATTCAAGGTATTTAAAAATTATCCTCACTTCACTACCTAATCTGATTCTCCCAAAAATAATAAGGTAGAGCTGAAAAAACAACCTAGAGACTCAAGTAGGACGTAGGAGGAAGTGAGGTGCGGGCGAGGAAGGCGAAAAACGGCTGAAAAACAGACCAGGGAGTGTTCGCTGAAGCTTTGTCGGAAGCTCGTCCGAGACTCACCGCCAGCGACTTTGCCAGAAAAAACTTGCCCCAAATTTTCATCACAGGCTGGTTTTTAGCACATGAGGGAAGAATGGGTATGCAGTTGGTTTTGGGCTTTGCTCGCCGGAAATGGGTGAAACTTTGAAAAACAGTCGGATTTGCACGGTTTTCCGGCGAGAATTCAAATTTTATGGGGAGTTTTTGGGTCGTGAAGTGAAGAGTCGTCGTTCATGCCCCTTTGATAAGCAAAGCATGACGTTCACGGACGCGTTGGCCTGTTCACGGTCTCAGAAGCCGTGAACACTCAAGTTCGTCCGTGAAGAGACTGTGGACACTCAAGTTCGTCCGTGAACTAGGGTTGGTCGACAGGTGGTTTACATGCAGAAGTGCCTGGTTCATGGACGCATTTACTTGTTCACGGTCTTGTAAGACCGTGAACAATCAAATCCGTCTGTGAACTCGAGTGAAAACAAGTCACTTCTGAAAAAAATTTGACGCGACCTATTTCACCGTGCCTCCTAACAATCACAACACAATCCTTAAAACGCAAAATCACCAAACTTGGCACGGGGATACCACTCAACCACTTGAACTCTTCACTAGTCACAAAAAAATAAGGAAAAGAAAACAAACCTTCGTTGGGTTGCCTCCCAACAAGCGCTAAGTTAATGTCACTAGCTTGACGTTGCGGATCTATCATGATTTAGAACATGATGCCACCGAGAGTGGATCCGCCACGTTCTCGGGGCGAGGCATGTTGCCTCCCAACTTAAGCTCCATGGGGTGGCCTTCTTGGCCGACAACCTTAGCTTTGCCCTTTTCTTTCCTTCGGGCCAAAGCTTGCTTCATCTTCTCCCTTCAAGCTTTTTTTCTTCTTCTCTTTGGACATAGTACCCACCTTAACTTTCTGCTTAACATCATCATAAGCAACACAAGTAATAGTGGGTTCACCTTGAGAGGCTCTCCTACACTCACATTCGAGTCATCCGACACCAATTCCTTCAAATCCTCATTTCTAGCCTTAGGTTCAGTTTCAAGAGTGATCCTCTCCTCACCATCCCTCGCAATCAAGGTCCCCTCATTAACATCAATTAACGCCTTTGAGATGGCAAGAAAGGGACGTCCTAGTATGAGTGGCATATCTGAGTGTTCACTTATATCAAGCATCACAAAATCCGTCGGATAGCAAAACTTTCCCACTCGTACTAGCATGTCCTCCACGATGCCCCTAGGATCAATGACAGAGCAGTCAGCTAATGTGACACTAAGCTTAGTGGTCTTGATTTCACCTAGGTCTAGCCTTTTGAATAGCTTATAGGGCATCATATTGACACTTGCTCTGAAATCCCCCAAGGCATTTTCTATGTGATGGTTACCAATACTAAGAGGGATAGTGAAGCTACCTGGATTAGGTCGCTTCTTGGGAAACCGGTTGAGGATGAAGTCCAAGCACTCCTCGCTTAGAGTCATATTGGTGAGGTCTTTGAACATTGGTTTCTTAGTGAGGAATCCTTTGAGGTACTTTGCGTACCTTGGCATGTGAGCCATAGCTTCAAGGAAGGGGATGTTGAGGTGGAGATTTCGGAGCATCTCTATGCAGCCTCCACATTCCGCTTCCAACCTCTCCTTATACACCCTTGTGGGGAAAGGAAGAGGTGACTTGTACTCAGCCACCGGAGATGTCGTCGGCGATGCCTTCCTTGCCACTTATTTCTCTCCCACCGAGGGCTCTTCATCTCCGTCCTTGGGGTTGGAGTCTTCCTTCTCATTCACTTCCTTAGGAACAACTCCCAGAGTCACCTTCCTGCTCCTCAAATAGATCGCATTGCAACCGGCTTGATCTTTGGGTTGGCAATGGTTTGAGAGGGAAGGGCTCCCTTTGGTCTTTCGGTAAGGATCCCGGCAAGATTGCCGATTTGCACCTCCAAAATTTGAAGGATTTCTTGATGGCTTCGGAGTCCCGTCTCAACCGAGGTAAACCACGTAGTTGCCACATCCATAAATTGCTCAATCTTCTCGAACTTCTAAGCACTCGTGCTCACAAAGGTATTCACAAGGTCTTCAAGTTTGGATAGCTTGTCGGGTTGTTGTTGTTGTTGAAACCCTTATCCACCTTGTACTTGGTAAGGTTGTTGGAAGTTCGAGCCTTGGAATTGTGGCCTTCGTGGAATGAAAGTTGGTCGAGGTGGATAATTTCCCGTAGGGCCTTGGAAACCGGGGGATCGCGGATTAGTCAGGGACGACCAAGCAAAGTTAGGATGATTTCTCCACCCGGGGTTATAGGTATTGCTATACAGGTTGTTCCCCCTAGCATTGGCAACAAAATTGACTTGTTCCTCCGGAGTGCTTGCTTCCTTCATTGCTTTACAATCCGCCAACTCATGGTTCGTGCTTGAACACCAATCGCACGACATCACCGCTCTCTTCCCTTGCTTCTTATCCTCGAGAATTACCTCGATCAACTTATCAAGTTTCGCCTCAAGAGGAGCACTCGCTCCCACACTTCTTACTCCTCTTTCATTGCTTCTTTTCCCGCTTCTCGTCAAACCCCAATCATATCCTTTGAGGGCCATATCTTCTAGCAATTGGATCACTTGTGGAGGAATCATATTCATTAACCTCCCTTGACAAAGAGAATCAATGAGGATCTTGTCTTCATGTATGAGCCCACCGTAGAAAGTTTCAATCCGAAATTGTTCTTCGAACCCACGGTGAGGGCATTGAAGAAAATAATCGGAGAATCTCTCCAAAGCATCCCTCAAGGTTTCATCTTCATCTTGCTCGAAATGGGTGATCTTCATTCTCCACTCGGCCGTCTTCGAAGGCAGGCAATAGCGGGTCATGAATTTGTTAAGAAGATCATCCCACGAGTTAATTGACCGAGGCGGCCGGTTGTTGAGCCATCGAAGTGCCTTCCCCCGAAAGTGTGGGTTTTAGCCAATGCTAGTGGTCGTTGATTGTAGGAAAGGTTCTAGTCGAGACCATAAAACCTTTGGTTTTTGGTGAAGATGTAGAACCTCATGCATTTCTTGCCACCGCACAAAAGGCCTTTTCCCCATGTCCAAGACCCTTACCACTCATTCGATCACATTTCTAAGACCTCCAGACAAGCTAGTGATGACAAGCATTTTGTGAACTCTAGCATTTAGAGGTTGCTGACATAGTGAAGATACGATAGGGCTGAGTGTTGATGATTGTGCACATCTTTTGCACCAGATGGTCCTGACCGCACTAGTCGAGAGTGAGTGATTCACATTCATATTTTTCAAGTTCATATCTTATCCCGGTGAGGACCTATTTCTCTCATTCGTTTGTTCCTTGGACTTGAACTCTATGCATGGTTAGTTGTGTTTGGTGAGTAGTCCTGTCCAGATTTGTCTTGATCTGTGAACATGTTGAGAACTTTTCGTTTGCACATTCTTAATGCATTCGAATGTCGTTTGTGGTGGGTGTAGGTATTACATGTAATGGTTCATGTGTCAATGCCCCATAGCCATTGTGATTCACCCGCTTTGAGCTCTTTGATATGTCCACAAGTTATCTGTTAAGTTGAGATATTACCTTGTTGGAATTGGTTTGCTTGGGGACAAGCAAACGTTTAAGTGTGGGGGAGTGATTTGGGTCTAATTGTACACTTTTTACTCCCCATTTTCCTTAGATGTTTGTGGCACTTTTACTTTGTGAGGTTCGGTTTTACTATAGGTTATGGATGTTTTTAGTATGTTTAAGATTCTAGTAGGTAAAATCAACCCATGGAACGAAAGTTGGATGAAAAGGGGCGAAAATCGATCCAAAGGGCACAAACAACAACAATTTACGGTGGAGGCTAGCAAATCACAGTCAGCCCGACCGTGAAGCGCATGGAGTCTAGAAGGTTTTGCACGCCTCGCGGGCATTCACCACTTCACGGTCATACGACCTTAAAAACCTGCTCCAGACCGTGAAGCGCCTAAATGAAATGGCACGGTTTTGCTCGACATCATGGTCCAAGCCAAATGTTCATGACCATGAGTTGGGACCGTGAAATGTCGTCGATCTGGGTATATAAGGAGGGATGGGCTGAAAGAGAAGGGAGAGAACCTAGTGAGAGAGACTTCTTCTTCTTTAGACATCTATAGAGAGAAAATGACGAACAAGAGAGGGAGTAGAAGTTAGGATTTCATCCAAGAGAAAAATTTTGGAAAAACTTTCCTCCAAGGTTGATCTCCACACCACAATGAAGGAGGCAAACATCCTCAAGATGGTTTTCTCTCTTCTCCTTAGTGTATTCCCTCTACTTAGCATGGAGTAGTCCTTTCTTTCACTTGGGTGTTTGTGAACCATAGCTACAATTATGTTAAAGTTTGTATGGATTGAATGACTTGTGTGTGGTTGTGTTTTAATACAAGTTATGAGGTATTTTCATGAAAGTTGTGTTGTGTTTTTGCATTTCCAACTCTTATGGCATTTTGACCTAGGTGGAGGAAAATCCTCTTCTTGGTAAGAGGCTTGTAAAAGCTGGCATTCCTTGGCCAAATTGTGTCACCTACTTAGGTTGAATTAGGAAAAACCTCTTAATACGTATTAGCACAATGGGTAGGTTGTGTTTTGGTCGTCCAGACTACGGTTCGAGGGAGAAGCCAAAGCAACCCTTAGTTGATTTTCCAAGAGAGCTACCGTCGTAGCTTGATTCTAAATTCCTTGGACTAGTGGCCGAGAGAGTGACGCTTTCTCAGTTGTTGCGCTTCCCTACTGTTAACAACCACCTTTACCACATATTTGTATTTGATCCGACAAGTCATGATTACTAGCTAGTGGGAGCAACACCCGGGTGAAGCTTCCTCAATTAGTGTTCAAACCATTTACTTTTCCAATCGCTTAAGCTTTAAACCGTAGTTTTAACCAAAAACCATTTGCTAAATAATGTTTCCAAAAATCGATGTAGGGGTGCATGGACCGGCCCGGATTTGACTTTTAAAACATACTTGTCTTATATTACGCCCTGTTAAGATTTATACTTAGGCCTTAATCGAAATTTTTATTGTGATATTCAGGGCGAGTCACTGCTTTCTCACCATTTCACAAGCCACATGATATTATTACTTATTAATCTGCCTTCAACAAAGGAATACTTAATTCCTTCTGTCAGCAGCTACCCTACCAGATCCTAGTGAATTTGGTAAAATTCAGCAGTGAACCCTCAGGGCCAGGACTCCTGTCCGTTTTCATATCGAACAATACAAATACAATTTCTTATGTATTGACTAGAGCACTAAATTAATTCTTCTGGCAATTTATGCACTAGTAGTTTATCAAACATTGTAAGAGGGACTCTTTGAGCTTCTACATCAGCTTTACCAAGTAGATTCTCATAAAAGGAAACAGCTTCTTGTCCCATGTCTTTTACAGTACATATAGGAGCTATCGATACTCAATTCAGTTGTCTAGTGGTATCTCTAACTTGCCTTGTCCTGACAGTTGCATGAAAACATTTTGTGTTAGGATCACCTTGAATCCACAATTGCCTAGACTTCTATCTCATAAATTGGTACTCATTTTTTTGCAAGTCAAGAAGCTAGACCATACACCTCATTTCCTTCTCAAAGGTATCAGAGGCAGGCACTCCAATCCTTCTATCTGTGCAGCAGCTAGTTCATCAACAATTATCTTTACTCTTTATCTTGAATATTAGAGAAGTGCGTTCTATTAAGTCATCATAGTTTTTCTTTAATTTTCTTCAATTTCTGGCACATAACATAGCAGAACCACTTGCTTCATGCTACCACCCCACTTTTACAAACTGATGATACTCAGTATGCAACTTCCAACAACTAAATAATTTAAAAGACTTCGATAATGATTTCATCCTTTCATCAGACATAGATAGTCAGCTCTCCACATTGGTCAAAAAGACCAGGAGGTAGAATTCTAATATAGCTATGCATGTAATGATTCAACCAATCATAGTTCACCAATACTCTATCCAATCATTTTGTTGTAGGATTTCCCGACTGCTTATTAGTCCATTAGTCCACGTAAACCAAGAGTCTACTGCCTTGCCATAAATGAGATTTAGGCTTGTTAGGTTTTGAGTTTTGAAAGATTTGCTGCATTTTGTATTTGAAAGATAACATTGTTTGTTTAGTTGAATTATTATTATGGATTTAGTTCATTTGATATTTGATTTTCAAAAAATTTCCTTCCATAATGTGGTATTTGCAAATACCAAATGAAATGTGGTATTTGCAAATACGTGGAATCCACATATTTGGAGCAAAAAAAATGGTCCAAATCCGTGGACCCCACAGATTTGCATACCTTAACAAACAATGGCTTTGGACAAAAAAAACATGAAGGTTGGTATTTAGAGACTATATACAACATCCAACTCCCATTAACAAACAACACCTTAGTTCATCAATCCACTTTTGAAAATTCTTAGAACTATCTCCCATTTCTGCTTGGTTTGATGCTTCCTTTTCATTAACGTACAATTGCAATAAAGTCACCTGCAATCATCCATGGTCCAGCAAACTGCTGATAATATTGAATTTGCACATGTTTTACCCCTCATTTCTTGATTATTTAGCTCGGTTTTTTATCATACTTTGGCATATTTTATGCTAGGTTGTGTTACTTTGTCACATTTCAGGTCCTAGCGCATAAAGTGAAGCATAGGCACAAGTTTCAAGTCAATCGGAGATCAATTGGCGACTCGGGGGAAGAAACTCAGACATGACCTGTGGAAGAATAGATTTCTACCTTATTTTATTGACAAAGAATCATGTAAGCTTATCATGATGAGAAAGAGGACGATACTACGAGAGTGTGGGATCACAGGGTGATGAATTCGGAGTCTGGACGAGGGGCGAGACATTTCAAGATAGGGGAATAGGAGCAATGATTTCCACGGGTTGGAAGCCAATTCCACAGTCGCGGATTAGGGGTTTGTACCATGGATTTTGAGTAGGAGAGATACACGGGTTGGAGAGCCAATTCCACGACCGTTGAACTCAAGGGGTGACCGTGGTACGTGCTGGTAGCGGGTATAAATACTTGTTTTATGCGTTTTTGGAAAGAGAGAGCTGTGTTTTGGATCTCAAACGCGCAAGGGACGAACCGTTGAGAGAGCACCTTGGGGTCATTCTTGGAGCTATTTTGGAGAATTTCTTTGCCATGAGATCTCGGGAAACAAGCTTGGAGATGGGGATTGAAAATCAATATCAGATTTCTGCATTCTCTCACTTCTCTATGGAGTAACTTCCCTTCACTTAGGTTTTGAGGAACCCTAGTTCCATGTGTTAGGATCTTTCTTGTTTGAAATTTTGGATGCTATATTGTTCGATTATAATCGACCGAGACATGATTTATTGAGTCAATTGAATCCTAATCAAATTCTATTGGTTTCTGCTTTAACCCTTGATAGATAGAATCTGATTAGGTTAAAAGAGCTTCCTTGATTGATAGTAGTGAATTGATTGTATGAGAGTTAGTTAATTCAATGCTTTGTACTGGAATTTGTTCCACATAGTGGAGATCTGTGTGGATCGCCTTAACATTCTATCCCGGTGAAGGCAAGTCGCCTGCCAGATAATCTGTCTAAGAGGGCTTGGTCAGCTTAAGAGATTCCAAGCTATTTTTGGATCTTCCGTAGTCTAATCAACAGTAAAATGACCAAAGGAAATTACAACTTGGACCTAATTGAGGAGCAAGGGGGAATCATACCTAATAGACTGTTTGGTACCAAGTGAATCTAGAATTCATTTCGTTTTAAAATGAATTTCTGTGTAGAATTCATTGTCAAGTGAATTCATGTGTTTGGTATATGCTATTAGCATTACAATCAAATTCTTGTCGACATTCCTCATACTGCATGAATAGGCGCCAAATAATATATGTAGAAGTAATTGTTTTAATAAATGAGAATAATTATGTCTTTTATTATAATTTGTAAATAATTGTGGAATTCATTTGAAAAATCCATCTCAATTCCTCGGAATTGCTATAACTAGTTCCAATTCCGTAGAATTCAAAATTTAGAATTGAAAATGAATTCTTTTAAATACCAAACACAAAAAGATTTAATTTCAAAATGAATTCCTAAAAATTTATAGAATTCATTTATACCAAAAGGTATGTAAGTGAGTTCCCAACCTATAATTAGTAGTTTAACCTTAATTAGTTTAGTTAGTATAGTAGTTTAGTAATTCAATCATTAATCTGGTTTGCTAGATAATGAACTGAAGTTGAGTAATAGTAACTCTAGGGGACCCGTGGGTTCGATATTTATTACTTGTATCACTTTACTGCAGTCCTTTTCATTGGTTACACTTGGTCATTTTTAGAAGTTGTGTTTTAGCGAGTCAACTGCATTTTCTTCTTTATTTCCTCATACATGGCACTTCTTCTCTGGTCATCATTTTATGCATACACAAATGTAAGAAACAATGGCCCTATCATGGCACTTTCTTCATAAATAATATTTGAATTTTTTTGGGAATTAATTATACTTATCGTAATGAAAAATTTTGAATTTAAAAACTTAGGAAATGAGGAATAAAAATCATTATATGAAATTTTCTCGTTATTGTTAGTTAGAATAATCTTAATTCAAATTGAGATGCACAAACATTAAATTAGAATCTAGAAAATATGGCCAGTAATCTATTAGCTGGTTAACAGTTTAATCGGATACCGAACCAATAGTTGGCAGTTACCAGTAAACCATTAACTAGCGTACCGATATGCGGTAGTAAAAAAAACATGACTTGGTATACCGAAGTATAGTTGGTTATTAGCCAATGGTTACACGGTAAATGAAACACCCTAACCCGGCCGGGTACTATTTTTACTAAAATGCCCTTGATAAATAAAATGCTCAAATCTTAAATTGCAGCAGGAAAAATTTTCATAAATAAAATACTGAAAACACACACTTGTAGTTCAAAGCAAAGCCCTAACATGTGAGCAAAATAAGCTCAAACTTTAAAATCTCGATCTGATCTCCAAGCTATACTCATAATCATAAAATGCAATTAACTAGGTAGTCTCTGTCGTTGCTGCTACTGAAAATCTTAACTAGGCATCCTCCGTGACTCTTGCACTGCCCTCCTCTAGCTGGCTGCCCTCGAACTTTTCCTCTCGAACTCGCTGCTCTCTAACTACTCCTCTAGCTAGCTGCTACTGATCTGGTTCTCGCTCATTCCCTTACTAAGGCCTGGTGAGTGAGTTGGGGTCAGTCTACGCCCTTATGTTTTAATAATTCTAATACTTGAGTACTTTACTTAAACACTTAACTTTAACTATTGGAAGTTGTTTGTACTTCCAATCTTAAAATCCTAACTCTTAAACTTTGAGGGAGTTGAAGTTACTCTCCTCTCTTAAAACTCAAATCTTGACTTAAATACTTGACTGACACTGGGATCCCCCACTAGCTAGTCCGGTCGCCAACTCATACGTATGAGAAGCCATCAAGGCTTTCCTTAAACTTAAACTTAGTTAGGGGAGTCGTAACGATTCATCCCCCTAACATCTTAAACTTATCGTGGTGGCTCTTCACCACGATTCTCAAGAGCATAATTGCTGCTCATCTTAAAAGTCTCAAGAGCATAAGTGCTGCTCTATCTCAAAGATCTCAAGAGCATAACTGCTGCTCTATCTGAAAATCTCTAATGGCAACGGACTGAGGCTAGTGACTAAAAACACTTAAAACGACTTCACCTTCTTGAAGGTGAGTTACTTCTTAAAAAGAACTTGTTTCTTAAACTTTAACAATAACTCAAATATCACGCTTTAAGGTATATGGAACAAAATCACCTCATATCACCTCAACTAGCACAAAATCACCTCAAATCATAGCTCAAGCAAAGCACAGATAATCAATCATAAACATAACAAGCAACGGTAACCAATTCGATAAAATACTTAAAATCATAATACTTAAAAGAATACGTAAGGCGTAGAATTTACCCCCTTTACACTTTGTAATTCCAGGGCGATTGGAATTGTTCATTTGCCTTGGCGGATTCCATCTTCTCCATTATAGCTCGGTTGGTCCTTTGTTCCAAGACAACAATTTCCCAACTCCCATGTGAACACATGCATAGGAATAATGCCAACCATGTAAAGCCACTAAACCCCCTTCCAATATCCACGATATGCTTTTTACCAAGCCGATCCATTCACCCTCCATGTCGAGGTCCCTGACCAATTTAAGGCCACGTAGCAATTTAAGAGATGCCATGAATGAATTCAGCTTTACCTCAATTTTGATTCATCAATAACTTGAATTCCCTTGGTTTCGTTCCAAATCAAGCTACGAGAGTAAACATGTCAACATCCCAAACAGCAATACCCAAACCGACTTCTTGCACCCATGACTTGGCCTTGAATTTCGTCAACTCCGTATCATTGTGTTGGTATTTTTAGGGACGAGGGTATATGTACGATAGCCCGAGACCGGGTGACCAGGATTGTAATAGAGTCGTCAATAAAGTTCACTTTCCGAAAAGAATATTTCCACCATCTACAAAGCCTTGGGTTACAGGAAATTTCTCCTAATGATAAAACTATCGCCACTTTAGGTTCTAGGCTCAAGAACACTAAAGTATACTTAAAATTTTTGGAAGAAAGAAGAAGAATCTGTTTGATGGTATGTGGCATCATCCACCCCACACATATTTATAGGGGCCGAATCCATGCATTGTTTCATGAAAGGCTGCCTTTATCCATATGAAAGGTTGCCTCTATCCACATGAAAGGTTATCCTTATCCATATGAAGGGTTGCCTCTATCCATACGGTTATCCTTATCCATATGAAGGGTTGCCTCTATCCATAAGGTTATCCTTATCCATAAAATAATGCAACCGCCACTAGGCCAAAGGGATGTGTCCCTTCACGGAATTAGAATATCGGTTCGGTCGGTCTAATCCCAAACCGGTTGGTCAGTCCAACCCAAAACCAGTTTGACTTGGTTAGTCCGGTTCAACCAAATTTCCAACATTCCTCCCCCATTTTAGTGTATTATATAGAATTCACTAAAATCACAACATTCTTCCAACAAAACTTAAGCATAAATGAAAATGTTGTGACGATTTAATTTTCACCTTAGTATATTACACTTGACGAATACTCGAATACAAAGGGTGTCGGTAACGATTGAACCCATTGACTCATATGAATATTAGAAGATAATATACACTTAAGTTTTCAAACTTCTAAGTGCCTTGACACTATTAACCGCCATGTGTCCAATCCTTCTCATAAGCGCACACGAAACCAAAGTCCGGGTTTCTTAAAGCGGCTACACTTCATGCTTACGTAGGTTGAATCTCTTATTCGTGTACCCGCATAATACACTTTTTCAAAGATTCAATTAAGAAGTTTTGAACTTCATCCTCTTCTCTCATGCAGGATAACAAGCACATACCTTGGGATGACAAATTGTGTGCTTCAATTTCTGACAATGAGCTTTCCACATTGAATTCAGCCTCTAACGTTGTATTAGAGGGGAATTGGGTGTCCCATTACCAGAAATTATATGGACTTTTAACCCATCCCTTTTACAGACTTGATCACCAAGTCACTAGTTAACCACTTCATCAAATGATCAACCAAATTATTTTGAGCTTGGTCATACTGTCTAGACACAACACTATGAATGATCAGTTCACAGCTTTTACCGTGCCTTACGCCTACATGACCGTTCTTGTCATTTTTACTTGACTATATGCTTTAGCCAAATTAGCATTACTATCACAAAAGATAGTAATAGGTGAGATTGGTTTAGGCCATAAATATATGTCATAAACCAAACCTCTCAACAATTATGTCTCTTCTCTAAGAGAAACCAAGACCACAAAAACATTGATTCCATAGTGAAACTTAGTGATGGAAGTTTGCTTTCTAGAGGCCCAAATTATGACACCTCTCCCAAGCAAGATGACCCATCGCAACGTTGAAGTATCTCCTTTAACATGAGAAATCTAACTAACATCAACAAATCCTTTCCAAAATTGATGGAAAACCACTATAAGTCAATACAGTGTGCCTTTGACATATCCTAGTACACACCTCATTTCATTTCAAATGATAAGAACTAGGATTCATCACGTACCAACTTAATTGTTCTATCGCATATGTGATATCTAGCATCATGTAAGTCATGCATACATCGAGCCCCCAATTTGACATGGAATACTCCAGTTGTAAGACTGATTTCCAGTATTAACCATAAGTTCCATACTTGGATCCATTGGGGTCTTTAACTCACTACAATTCCTACTATGGAATTTATGCAAGTACCTTCTCATGCAGAAAAATTGAGAGAATGACTCTTTCTTGTCGCTTCGCTTGATTCAATACACATAATCACATTTGCCTCCCCTATGTCCTACATGGAGAATTGAAATAACAAATTTTTATCAAAGTTCACTTATCTTTTATTGGTTCCAAAGATAAGCAAGTCTTATACATACAAATGTACGATGACTTCATTACCAGAATCATCATAAATTGTGTACACATTTTGTCTCCTTGGTTTAAAATAACATAAACCACTAGACAAAATCACTTATCTTTGATTGGTCCCAAAGATAAATATGTCATCTACATCCAAACACAATGACTCTATTACCAGAATCATCAAATATTGTATATACAATTTTGTCTCCTTGGTTTAACATACACCACTTAGAAAAAAACCACACCATGAAACCATTAGACTAATCCATATTTGTCTAGCGCTTCATAAACGTCGAATAGAGAATTAGAAAAATTAACCATTGAGTATGTGACCTACTCAGGCAATTTTCATTCTTTTATTTCTCCATTTTACGGATCATTCTCCTTCTTCCTCATCTTCGAATCATCCCTCTTCCAAGTTATCTTCCGGATATGGAATACACCATGAGACAAGTACGAAGAATACCCATCTTCTACTGCCATCGATGAAAAACCCATCATCGAATATTCTCATAATTCCATAGACCGAAACCAGTTTCTTGTAAAAAGCGGTTCGAGCCATCGTACCGGAAAAATATTCTTTTCGATTGTTGCTACTTTTAGGAACGAGGGTATATGTACGATAGCTTGAGACCGGGTGACCAGGATTGTGATAGAGTCGTGAACAACGTTCACTTTCCGAAAAGAATATTTCCACCCTCTACAAAGCCTTGGGTTACAGGAAATTTCTCCCGAGGTTAAAACTATCATCACTTTAGGTTCCAGGCTCAGGAACACTAAAGTATACTTAGAAATTTTTGGAAGAAAGAAGAAGAATCTGTTTGATGGTTTGTGGCATCATCCACCCTACACATATTTATAAGGGCCGAATCCATGCATTGTTTCATAAAAGGTTGCCTTTATCCATACGAAAGGTTGTCTTTATCCATATGAAAGGTTGCCTCTATCCACATGAAAGGTTATCCTATCCATATGTAGGGTCGCCTCTATCCATAAGGTTATCCTTATCCATATGAAGGGTTGCCTCAATCCATAAGGTTATCCTTATCCATAAAATAATGCAACCGCCACTAGGCCAAAGGGATGTGTCCCTCCACGGAATTAGAATATCGGTTTGGTCGGTCTAATCCCAAACAGGTTGGTCGATCCAACCCAAAACCGGTTTGACTTTGTTAGTCCGGTTCAACCAAATTTCCAACACATTGCTGCCCGATTGACCCCAGCTGTCCGAATCTGCCCTTCCCGTCGACTACTAGCGCTACCGGTGTCTCCCTCTGCTCGCTCCCCGGCAAGCCTTCTCAAGAATATGGCTCTCAACGATTTCCTCTATTTTGGGATCGACATATACGTCCCGCACTGTAAAGCTTCTTTCCGCCGCTCTTCCGGCTGGCCAATTCTACCGACGTTGACGATGTGGTACCGTCTTGCGAGGGGTGGAGAGAAGAATCATTGTCAAGTGGCGGTGGGTTTACTTCTTTCTGCACGTTGGGGGTTTTCTTGGGTAGATAGCGGCTGGGGAGAAGGGTTTTTTGCGTGGGAGAGGAATTGAGAATAAAGGCCGCTAGGCCTCTCGTCCCACTTGCTTTATTTATTTTTTTTATACAATAATAATAGTTATTATTATTATTACTATTCCTAATCAGCGGTTGCAACTCTTCGTACATACCCGTTAAACACACCGTTCACGTATTATGGTCGAATCGAAACCCAAAGGTCGGGGTGTTATGGTAAACCAGATTACCTGTCGCTCACCATTAAGTCACAGCAAATGGGAAACTCTCCCCACTCTCCCTTCACCTGCTAGTGAATCATTCTCTCCCTGCGTAACTCTTCTTTTCCAACTGAGCAACTCTTGTTCCCCAATCCATGTTTTATCTCTCCAAATCCACAACCACCATCCATAATAGGAGATATTAAAAGAGCACTCGACGAATCAAACCTAATATCAGTCTGTCTTCTCAATCTGTGTCCGGTGGAACCTCTGTTGACGACAACTAAAAAGGACAATGAAGAATCCCTAGACGAGGAGCAGATGCAAGAGCTGCATCAAAGAAGCACCTGCGACCAACGACGCCACTGGACAACTTTGATTCGCAGGACGGAGGTGCAGCTAACTAAACCACTGTGTCAGAAGAAGCCCAAGGCGAAGAGCATATGCAACCGCTTTGCTCAGCTTCAAATGAGGTCTTCGAAGGTCTGACGTCATTGACCTCCTTCCCATCCTCTGGTTTTACAAAGAGCAAAGCTTCCCAACCGGTGAATCTAAATCATCGTCTGCCAGTGTGATAGAAACCTATTTCTAGGGTTCTATCAATAGTGTTAGTTGATTGGGAATTTAGGGATTTGGGAATAGAATTAGGGATTGAGATTGAGGAATTGGGGAAGAGGGAGACTAGAAAGATAGAATCGGCCGAAGCTTTGGAAGGATTGGGGTCGAGAAATTAGAGGATAGAGGATTAGGGTTTTGGGAGAGATACTTTCTGAATAATTTTTTTTTGCTTGATTGATAATGAATCACAGATTACATATTTATAGGAAAGATAGGAAAACCTAATAATAAACCTAATTCTACTAAAAGACTACTATCCTTATTTGTAAATATCTTAATAATGATTATTATGATAATTATGATAGAATCACGAAAACGTGTTTCTATCACAGTGCTTTTAACAGAGTAGTGCACGACAGTGACCAACCTCAACTAGTCCTCCATCGAGCAGTAAGAATAGGAGGTTCTACTAGAAGCGACGACTCTAGTGATGAGAAGCTTGCAAGTCGCAAAGATCTAATCTATTGCTTCCACCACCATCGGTGGATCAAAAGTGTTATCAACAGATCTAAATCATCACTGAGTCTAATCAATTGCTTCCACCACCATCTCTCCTCCAGAAACTTGTATGTAACAGGGAGGAGAAGAGAGGTCTGCCACCTCAAATCCGAAATCGGGGAACTATCTCCACCTTCCCTTTGATTCTCTTCGACAAATGACCGTTGACTAGAGCCACCGGAGGGATAATAGAGCTTCTGGCTAACTGCTGGGGGAATGGAGTTGATTAACAGTTAGGGATTTAGGGTTTTCGGGGGAAACTTTTAAGGAGCGGATCGGCAAGGCGCTGCTCAATTTCCCTTCGTCCTCCCAACACTTGTAACCGACTTACTAACTGAAAAACCGGTTAGCTGGTTTGCTTGACTGCCACCCTGTAACAATGAAGAGGGGTAGTTTCATGCTAGTCGGTATACCAATAACCGGTTACCCGGTTACTAATCGATTGTCATCCCTACTAGAAACTGAAAGCATAATACAAACATGAATTGGAATCGAGAAATATACGAACGTTAACAATCATAATTAAAATCGAATATACGAACATTAAATTGGAATTGAGACACTGAAATTAGAATATGACTGTTAAATTGGAATCAAGAAATATAAAAGCTTTAAAAATAAAATTTCAAATTGAAATATATACACCGCGATAGCGATGTTGATATTAATTAACAAATTTAGGAAAACTTAACCTAAAGCCTGAAATCATGTCCTAAACCCTAATAATAAACGCTAAACCCTAAATCATAACCCTGAGCAATGAATCATAAACCCTAAACATTGAATAATAAACTTGAACCCCAAACCCTAGACCTATAAACCTCTAAATCTTAGACCTCTAAATCCTAAACACTAACTCTAAACCTTAGAGTTCAAGGTTCAAGTTTATTGTTCAAGGTTTATGTTTTAAGGTCCATGTTAGGGCTTAAATTTTAGAATTTTGGGTTTAGTTTAGGATTCATAGTTTATGATTCACGGTTTAGGGTAAAAGTCAGGATTTAAGATTGAGCGTTTATAGGTTTGGGTTTCAGAGTCTAGGTTTCTTTAATTTGTAAATAAATATCAAGTCCGCTATTATTTCGGATATTTCAATTTGAATTCCTATTGTTCATATATTTCTCAATTCCATTTAATGTTCGTATTTAATTTTAATTTCTTAATTCTGTTAACTTATCTATTCCAATTGACCGTCTGTATATTTCAATTTGAATTACGATATTACATTTCCTAGCTAACAATGACGAGCAAAGTTCATATTTTAATTTTTAGTTCTCAATTCCTAAATTTTTAAATTCAAAGTATTTTATAATGAAAAGTAGTATTGTTATTGATTTTCAATTTCCAAGTTTCTAAGTTTAAATTCCAACGCGAACTTCTTCTTTCTGCAAACCATCTTGATGTATATAAAAGCATTTGAATAAATATAAAAATTATAGAGAGAAGAGTTGAAAATTTCAGCACTTGGTCTAGTTTTTGTTTGATTGAAAATTTTAGACCTTTACCAAAATAAATAGTAAAGAAACAATATATAAAAGAAGGACATAAGGATTGGTTGAGAATTAAAATTTGCATTGGGAAATGGGGTACTTCTGGACAATATCCTCCCTAGGTTGTGTTGACTGAACGACCAAGTCAAGTGTAAGGAGAGTGAAAGTGAAGAGAGGCATGGCTTTTTGTGTGTTCAAAATATTAATGGATTGGAGGGCCTCATTCATATGCTATCTTGCATTTAAAATGCTAATTAATCCACAGATAATTTAAGATAAGGATGATTAATTAATGATAATGGTACATCGTTTACTGCTTCATCCTTTCCGGCTTTGTTTTAAATCAAATAAACGAGGCTTTTATTTGCCCTGTATAACTGTATAAGTGCCAACCGCCACGTCAGCTCTCGGCAACAACTGCCCTTCCTTTTATACGGCACCGTTTGTTCCCCTGCCTCACTCCCCCCCTACCACTACTTCCACTGTCAGCGACTCTCCGCCACATCGCTTCTTTTCCTCACCAATTCTCCGCCCCTTTATATACCTCGATCGCTCGCTCTCTATGTTGTGATCCTCTGATTCCGATTCATGGACGCCGACGCCGGCCGCAGATTCCTCGCCACGATCTCTCCACCAGCTACACCCGATGGCGCAGGGATCGGGGACGAATTGACCGAGGACGACGTCCTCTGGACCGACGATTTCAACGTAGGTCAACTTCCCCCTCCCGCCGCTGTCCCCGCCAAACAGGCACCAAAGCGCAAGGGCGGCGGCGGCGGCGGCGGCCACAGGCGCTGCGTGTCCTTCCAGCAAGGCAACTCGGGGATTCTGGCGGCACTGCCGGAGATCAATTACCAGTCCGTGCTCCACCGCAAGCCGACCTCATTGCCGTCGCCAGTGAAGGCGATCCCGGCGTGGGTGCCGAGGCCGGAGCGAGAGAACTTGTCCTCATCGCCGGGTTACCTCCAGGCGACGCAATCGGCTCCCGCGCGGAAATTCCAGCAATCGGCTCCGATGAAGGTGCCGATGTTGTCGATCGCCATGGCTAAACAGAGGAATAGCAGGTTCAAGGAAGAGTACGAGGAAGGGCTGACTGGTGGAGATGAAGAGATGATGCTGCCGCCGCACGAGATCGTAGCCAGGGGATGGATGCAGTCGTCCTCTTCGATGTTGGAAGGAGTTGGGCGAACTCTCAAGGGGAGGGATCTCAGACAGGTTAGGAACGCCGTGTTTCGCCAAACAGGGTTTCTCGACTAACTGACTTGACTGACGGCGTTAATTCTTCCTTGCCTCTTTTTCTTCTTTTTTTGCCTGTGGAATAATTTTTTGAGTTTGATTTGGGTTTCGATGTGTGGTAGAGAAACAATTGAGCAATTTTTGCTAGCTCGTGAAACGGTTTGTCAAATGAGTGCAATGCAGCACAGTTTCTGCTGAGCATCGAGTATCAGAACAAGAACCAAGCTTTATCCTTTCTCTTTCGATTGATCCTTGATTTCAGTCAGATGGTAATTTGATGGACCAAATTGATTGACGACTTATAATTTGATTACCTCAGTACTCTGAGACACTTCATCACGAACAGGAGGAGAACTGAGATGGAATATAATATAAAAATCACAAAAGGTTTCATTTCTGTTCAATCACTGGTCCTTACAATGTCAGATTTACATCTTTTCTACACCATGAGAAGACCTAAATTGTGGCACTTGAATTGGCAAGGAAACAGAGAGAAGCCCTGAATTGTGGCACTTGAATTGAAAATGCAACAGCCTGCAGGCAAACATCAGTCCAGCAGCCAACAAAAGGACATAAGCAGGCAAACACAAGACCAGCAGCAGCTTCTAGCACAAAACTGAAGAGCCAGCATCCCTCAAAAGCCTGCAATAAGCCAAGCTCACAGCATAATCAATAGTTTGAAAGCGAAAAAAGAATAGACTTGCACCAAAGATAAGATGCAAATTACGCATCGATACAAAGTGTAAAAATGTTTATAGGATGCACAATGAGTCTCAGACATCCAAGGAAGGAGAAAAGCAGCATTAGCTCTCAAGCCTGGCGAAAGGCGAAAGCTCTTAGACGGCCACTGCGAATGTTTTGAGAAACAAGCCTTTGGATTTATCATCACAGACAGGACCAAGACATAAACAGATGGGTACCACCATTCAGTCATTCAAATCGCATCTCGTCCAAAAGAGTCATAAACTATTGTACAAAACTAACGCTTCCTTGGGCAGTTGTAACAAATCATATGAAAATATAGTTCAAAAAAAAAAGTTGAAAGCAAGCCAAGTGGTTTTCCTAATCTCTTCAATGTCTCAGACATCCAAGGAAGGATAAATGCAGCACTAGCTCTCAAACCCGGCGAAAGGCGAAAGCTCTTGGGCGGCCACTGCGAATGTCTTGAGAAACAAGCCTTTGAATCTATCATCATAGACAAGAGAACGAGAAAAAAATAACACTTGGTTGCTCCGGTTTCATTCACCTAAAGTTACCTACAGAAAACAGAGTACTAAATTGAGTTGGCCAACTTTGAAAATAACAGAGGTCTCAGACATCCAAGGAAGGATAAATACAGCACTAGCTCTCAAGCCCGGCGAAAGGCGAAAGCTCTTAGGCGGCCACTGCGAATGTCTTGAGAAACAAGCCTTAAGTTCTATCATCATCGACCTAATATTTTCAAAGTAAAGATATCCCATTCGCACATGTTCAAGGCAACACTGAAAAAAATTCAAACAAGAATGCAGAGCAGGATTGAATTGATATGTGATATAGCAAGGCAGGATGATAGTAAGTCTTGATTGGCGATCAAACGGGAATAAACGCATGCAAATCAAACGGAACCTATACCAACACCAATCAAATGAAAAAAGTTGCAGACTTTGCCCACTTTGGAATGTTCCCCGCATCAGAGCGAGGCGTATACAATTCATATTGGAGCTGGAACACGGAACCAATTGAAATTTTCCAGAGACGGAAATTCAATTCCCAGGAGCCTACCATAATCCAACGAATGGAGAAAACGCCTCGGAATTAAACCAGAGTGCAGAAGGCAATAAGGAACTCTATAGGAAAACCCTAAAGAGTACCCAGAGAATGAAGATTTGATTTGGCGCAGCTATGACTCAAAACGCTTCCATTTGTAATCTGGAAGGCGATCTTAAGGGCTGCGCTTACTATGCTTATAAAGAAGAAGCCGGAACTCATAGACCGCCGCCCACATTCCGAGGATCAACACACATACGAATACAAAGAATTGAAGGGAGAAGGATGCACGCAAATGAAACCCTAATCCCGCTGCAGTCTGTATGTGCGGGAACCAATCCGATTGATTTATAGGCCGTGGTCATAACAAAAAGACTAAAAGAGTCTCAAGGTCAGGGATGATCATGATGGCGTATTTCGATAGATTGGTGGAAGTGGGCTTCTACAAATGGGCCAGATCCTAGCTGCCCGACGAGAGAATATAATGGACGTGGTTTTTTTTTTCCCTTCTCCAAAACCGTAACACCCTAACCCGATAGGGTGCTACTTTTACCAAAATACCCTTATAATTCAATGAACATTAAATACATTGAAAGGTAGCTGAAGCGTCATACTAAAGAAAACAGCAGACATAAAAGTCAACATGGTTTGAAACATCCTGACGTAATAAATATCATCGTAAAATCACATCAAGTCTATCGTCCCACTAAAGTACTGAACTTAACTTCTTCCTTCTGGAGTGCTTTGGAGCCAATGATGAATCGCTGAATCCATATAAGTGCTTATGTGCTTCTATGATTCCTGAATGCGGGCGTTGGGGTCAGTCCTAATCCTAATTTCATTCTTGACATAATATATAAAATGAACCAACACTCGTAATGAGTGCAAATGCTCGTGTATGAAAATGCTTACATGACTTGTGATTTTCTTGAAATAGACATTTTACGAAAAGGGGCCCCGAGCTCAACTTAACTAGCACGCCACCACGATCACCAAAATACTTAAACATGATCGTATTACCCAGGAATAGGGTTCGTAACCTCCTTATTACCCAGGAGTGGGGTTCGTAACCTCCTAAATCATAACATGAGGTGACCGCGTGCGGCTAGCTAAGCGAGGGTTAAAACATGATCTTGCTTACTTACTCAACCTACTTGCTTGACATGATGATCCTCCACTCAATGGAAGATCCAATCTTATGACTTATTTAACTTATAAAATCGTACTTCTTTTAAAAGTAACTTGCCTTGCTTAAAACATATGTATCCATGAAACATGATCATGGTATGCATACTTAAAACATAACTTGTATCGTCTTGTCTTAAAACATAGCTTTGTGATGCAATGCCATGCCATGCTATGCTTCAGAAATGAACATAATTCATAAACTTGGAAATGAATCTAAAAAAACACATAACTCAAGCATAAATAGCATTTAAAGACATATCAATTAATTCAAGCAACATGCAGCGTAAATAACTCAGAATGGAATACTAACTAATGCCCCCTCAAACCACGCACCTTATTAGCTTAAGTCGGATTTAGCCACCAACTCAAGAAATCGGTGCTCTTCATGGGTGAAATGCCTTGGCGAACCTATGACGAAAGTCGAGGTTAGATAGATTGGGTTTCGGGTTCTTAGCGACAGTTCTTGATCGGTGGGACTACTTGCGATATTTGCTAAGTACGGCTAATTAACGTACCAATTAAAAATACTAAAATCATATTGCTCCATAAGTCTAATAGTTCAAGATCTTAGCCAATTTAAATACTTGAAAAACAAATCATGCTAAGCTCACTTACCTAGTCGGATTCAAGAAGCGCATATTATAGCATATATTACTCTAATGAATAACTAGTTAATTTACCCATTAACTAACTTAGATTAATCTAACTTGCTAATCTTATCATATCATCTTCTGGTTTAAATTGTCACAAAATCATACCCGTTAAACTAATATTTTCTAACTAATACTTAAATCATCTTAATCTATTAAGTTGCTTAAAAACCTCTTATCATATTATAGTCTTTATTATATTATTGGATAAAATACTTAATTAACTCAACTAAATCATTTTATCAACTGCTAACTTATTAACATCCTAATCCATGCATGCCTATTAACTCAATTGCATATTAATTCAAATAACTTTACATAATTCACCTGGAGACTTAATATGCAAAAGCTACCGCTCGTTTAGTGACTGTCTAGATCCGTCACCAAAGGTCACGTCAGCCGTGCCAAAAGAACGGCCACAACCTCTGCTTGCCCAGCCTTTCGCGACGGCATCTTAAAAGTTACTAAAAGCCTGGAAGTCCGTCGCTAATTTACCTGAATTGCTAAAACCCGTACCAATCGTATAAACATCGATTTTAATGGTAGGGATCGGGCTTCCTTACCTTGTAGGTGTACCCAGGCCGAGATTCAAGTCAGTAGAGCTTATGCTCCTTGCTTAGGTTGCCGTTCGATCAGCCCGTACCTATGTCGTCAAAGCTAGATCGAGAGAAGTAGATAAAGTGAGCAACGATGAAAGTAGTTGATGGTGGTGATCATGGCAATGATGATATAGAGACGAGGATTTCGGGGGAGTATAAGCTTGAAGGAAAGGAGAGACATGGTTTATGATGATGATAAAAGGACGGGGTGGTGGCTCTAGTGTTCTATTTCTCCTCTGCTCTGTAGGAGTTCCTTGCTATTGATATTTTGGACATAGTGGGATATATATGCATGATTGTCTATGTACTGGTTCTGGAAAGTAAGAGAAAAGAAATAAAAGCTATCACATGGTTGACGACTAATGGTTGGGCGGAGATACTGCGTTGCAGGCGTTGCAGAGAGATAGGATCGGGTGGGGTGTGGTGAATTAAAGCTATTGTCTCCAACAAGTCCTTTAATGGAGTGGCATGGTGGGTTGAAATCAGGGAGAGTTGAGTATCGATTGTAATTTAAATTCTTATACATGGTGATTCGTAGAAATTTAACTCTAACTTTCACTCCAAGACATCTCAACCCTCAAGCAGTTGCTTTCGGTCACAACGCCCTCGTTCAGCTTGTCATGATTGACTTTTGCGTTGAAAGGCAAAGTAGTCCTTCATACGAATTGGGTCGCTTTTGTGTTCGTACTTGAGCATATCTTTTAATTTTGGGTTGAACCATAACCCGATGGTCGGGGTGTTACAAAAACTGTTGAGGAGTTGTTTGGACAAAAGGATTTCGATCTTCCTAAAAAAAAGAACCATTTCGATTTTCGACTATGGATTTAAAGCTTCTGGGTCACTAAAAATCTACGTATAATCTCAGTTTTTATAAGTAATATAGTTAAAAACTATGTTCTAAAATTTTAAAGTTTACGATTTTATGCTTCTAGATTATCAAAATATTTTTACATAGAAACGCGCTTTTCATTACATTGATTTATAGGTATGGATCCGCCAAAACCGGAGCTAAGAGAGGACAAAACCATATGAGGCATTGAAGCTGATGGGAGTTTCACACTGAAATCAGTTTATCAGATGGTTACCGACACCGTTGATGAATAACCTATAAAGAGAGAGCATTTCTACTATGCTATATAGTATTGGTGCTTTAATGTACAACTTAAAGTTGTACCATAACATGAAATGTATAAGTTTAGATTGTACCATAAAAGAATTTGTATCATTATGTTATGGTACAACTTTACAACTTGAAGTTGTACCATCACATAAAGGTACAAGTTCAAGTTGTACCATAAAAAAATTTGTACAAACAGTATAGGTACAATCTGAAATTGTACCATAACATAAATGTACAATTTTAAGTTGTACCATAAAGACAAAAATCTATAGCACCAATACTATATAGCATTGTAAAATTCCTCGAGAAGGAAAACTTTTTGGAAATGGAAGAGGTGAAGCCGCATTAAACATTTTCTTTGGCTTGTCTCACACAACAAACTCCTAACTAACAACGAGAGAATCAAGAAGAAGCTGGCCACAAATAGAGCCTGCAACCTCTGTGAAGATGCCGAGAAAATAGTCGACCATATCTTTTGAAGATGCAGAAAGACGAGTGGAGCTAGACATTTCTTCAAGAGTACTATCACATTTGGTGACGATATGATCCCATTATAGGAGTGGTTGCCGAAGAACTTGCAGCATAAAGAAAAAAAAGATATTAAGTTTGGGATCTTGTGCTAGCTAACATGGAAGTAGAGGAAGGAAGAGGTCATGGATGGGAAGAGGTATTCTGAGATAGGATTGATCCAGAAAATCTTTGCATGGCAGGACATAGTGGAAAGATCTTAAGAGAAAGTGGCTAGGAGCACAATGAACTGCTGTATGAATAGAATAAGTGTCGATGTTAGGTGAAAAGCCTCCCAAGGAAGGATAGATATAGGTGCAGACTGAAGGATCTGAACTCCCTAATACAAACCAAGCAACAACAGGTGGTTTGCTGAGAGATCATTTGGGGCACTGCTTAGAGGCTTTTATCAAGAACTTGAGAACTTGTTCGGATACTCGGGTCAAGCTTTGAGTAGCTGCTAAAGGTTTGAAAGAGCCTGGATAGGAGGCTTTAGAAAGGTGAAACTTAATTTGGATTCTACCAGAGCTATTGCAATTATCAAAAGCAGCCCGGATTCGATCCTTAGAGGCATGGTCTGGTGGCAACTTAGATAGGAAACTTAATTAATCTTGGTTAGGAAGTCTCTAATGATAATGTTTATATGGAAAGCACTGTTGTTGTAAATTTCCTTGCGAACAAGGGACATAGTTATCCTTTTGTATCACATTCTTTTGATGTTGATGACATGAATCTCTGTTACTCGACTGATGTGACCCAAACCGAAGAGGACTCTCGAACTCGGATGATATGACCAAAGTACGCAACTTCAACGATCTTTTTATGCTTTTGTTTATTTCTCCTTTCTTGAATTAAAAAATAAAGGATAAGGTGGAACACGATCAAACAGATTTCAACTCGTGAAGGGCCAATTGGTTTATGAAACCAATCAAATAATCATCCACTCGTGGATAAGACCAATCGCTAATAGGTAGATATTCCCCACAACTAGACGCGTTCTCTAGTTGATAAGAGACACATGAAAACCTCTTGGAATCCTCGACAGAAAGATTTTGCATGAACATGATTAAACACTCTATAACTTGATTTCTGAATATTGGGTAGTGGGTACAAATTTCATAGGTCTTACATTCTCTATTTATAGAGGTCACAAA